GATGCCCCTACACATGGTAAAACAGACCTTGATGGGAAAACAAATTGATTGTGCCGATAAACAAGCTTGAAAATCTTTGCTGTTACTTCATGGACGTTTTCTAGGAGTTTATATTTTTCAAAATACAAGGTCTTTAACAAAAAATAACGTATACTTATTGTCGTCGGATTAACACCAAATTTTCACAGCTTTAAGGTGACAATGAGAGGAACTTGAATGTGTCCAGACAAACTATTTCATCGATTATTTACAAACGAGTTGTGGTTTGAGTTGGGGGCAATGTGACTAAAACAGTAATTGAAATTCAGCACACTATTTTTTAAAACGCGTTGCTTGAATAAAACTGACCAGACACATTCAATTTACCAGACTATTGAACAACTAGGAAAAGTGAAAAAAATACTTCTTATCGCCAGCGTAAATGCGTAATTATTTTTTTTTACAGAAAAAGTAATTTTTCACCTTTGATTGAGTAACGCGCCGTAGAATGCAGATACGGGCATGCAAAATACACTTGTGAAAAGCTTGAAGTCTGGCGATTCTAAAAATATATACTTTCCCGGGTCTATTTGTAGTCATTTAGTCACAATTAGAAGATGAAAACAAGTATGCAAATAATAGTCTCGCTACCTTAACGGTGTATTAATATGACGCCAGGCGACGACAAGTTTGAAACGTATTAGCATGTTGGAAAGAAACTTGCCGGACACAGGGTGCGGTTCCATAGTGCCCGTCCTGTCAACCTCGGGGTTAGTGGTACAGTTAAAATCACCACCTGCAATTACTAGTTCATTATTGAAAGCATTCATAAAATGCTTAAAACCTTTAAAAAACTCTAAACGCTCCAACCCATTAGTAGGTGCATAAACATTAATCAGATGCACAGGGGAGTCATCGACATTGAACGTGACGTAATCGGCCGGATACAACACTAGTGACATTCAGAACATTAATATTTTTATTTGGATTAACAAGAATAGCCACACTGAACGAATGAGTATTTTCATGCGAGAAAAAAAGAGGTGCTTTCCACTTGCCAAGTAGAAACAGTGTGCGTCTCTTGGAGGAATTAAAAATCACTAGAATGGTTTATTTTGAAAAAGTTAAAGAGTTGGTACCTCTTAAAAGAGTCCCTGCACATTCCAAGTAACATCTGATATGTTAGCCATTATTGATAGTAAAAAATAAACAACCAAGATACGGTAAATACTCGCAATGAAGAAATAACGAGCCATATAGAAAACAGACCAGTTTTTTTACCTCGATTTTCAGCCTTCCCACGTCTAGTGGAAAGTCCACGCTTGGTATTCAATATTGCGTCAGTAGGTTGTACATTGATGTCAATAGTGCAGTCATGATCTGCAGTGCCAGATATTTTTTTTTGTTCAACTCTTTTGTAGTGTTAACCGAGTTTAGCCGTCATGCGCTGGATACGGATTTTTTCTCTACTGGCCATTGAAGTATCCTTACGAAGACGAGGGCAAAACTCAGTTGTGTTCTCAACGATTCTCTTTGAGTTGTAGGACTCATCAAGAAATATTACCAACAAATCGTGTGAAAGAAGCTTCTTAGTTGCCTCGGGCAGATCATCTATCATAAACTGTGACAAGTCTGATGCACCGGACGCCACCGACTCCATGTCATCAGTATCACCATCTGGTGGATTCCGATTAAAAATGTCAAAGGCCAACACGCCCTTCAGCTCCCCGAGTTCAAAAGAAAGAGAGCATGACGAAGACGCCATGGAAATAGAGGGAGGGGTTAGTACCCTCTCCTCACCATTACTATTAATTTCAATTAAATCAGACTGAAACTGAGTAGGGGCGACAGGTGCGCTTTGATAATGTGTAACCGTGGAAACACTGTCTGTTTGAGCAGGTGTAGTTTGAGTCAAGTTAACTTGGTCGGTCTCATTAGCATTTGAATTCACTGTACGTGTGCCAGTTTCAAGTTCATTATTATTGTTTTTTCATGTCCAATAGTAGCCGGCGGTTTAATATTATCGTTTATTTTAGGTTTTAGTATTAATTTCTCTGAAAGGTGGTAAAACAGTATTATCAAGATCAGTTATCATTTTAGTTGAGTTGAGCTCTGATCAGTATCCGTCATGACATTATTTTCAAGTTCATTGTTTGCTGTACTAATATTTGTTGGTGGAGTGAATGCATTGCCGCTACAATTGCGCTGTACTGTAAAGGGGGTAATTATTCACTTGGTTTTAATTTAGCTTATTTCGCTGACTGGAAAAATGCGCTAAATTAAAACACAGTGAATATGTAAAATTTAGCATAGAACACATTATCTAAATGACGAAACCGTGAATTTAAAACCCACTGAATATGCCTGAAATGGTAAATCAGTGAAATTTAAACCCTGTGAAAATTAGTCATTTTACAGTATATGGTCCTTTTTAAAACACTTGTAACACGTAATTTCATCGGTTGACAAGTAAACACGACAATACCTTTGCTCATGCATAACGTTTATAATTCCCTCTAGTCTGTCAATGTCGCACAACATATACACTTGTCTCCGGAAAGACTTGACATGCTTCAATTCCGGGCTTCTACAACCCAACGGGATCATCCGTATAGCACTGACAACCCGGCCATAGCGTTTTAGTTCACTTTCCAGTGCCTCATTAGAGATAAAAGGGGGAACCCCAGACAGAACAATATTAGTTGCCGGTTTTACAAGTGGCTCAATGTAAATCGCCAACGTTACTGAGACCATTTACACAGACAGTTTCAACTGAATTTAACGAGTCAACAAAAATAAGGACATTTCCATTTGCCCATGAGGCGGCGACTACTTTTTCGGGCCCAATAACACCAGCGACTGCTTGGACATAATTTGTGATTGCAGAAAGGATGTAAAAGTGCATTTATATTGGGGAGTGGGTCAGTCTTCCACTCTCTTTGAATTTATAAATGGTGTAACTGATTATACTTTCTGATGGCAGAGCTCTGTGAGATGAATCATAGGAAAAACATTTTGATGCAGAAATAATTATGAATGGCCAGCTGTGTTGCACATGATGTATATTGTTAATAATCCTGTAGATTGTATGAACATAACATTGGCATCCCACAGTATAGATATGAACCTTTACGAAATTTTGTATTTTGTATGCAAATGAACAAGCAATACACATGGTTTCTTTATATTTCTTATAATTTTGTATATACAATTAATACATATTTATACTAGTGAACAGTGACTTACTCCAGTCTCTAGCAATATATAGTTGCACATGAATTGTTAGGTTTTTATAATGTTGTCAATGATCGACAATTATGTTCTCACAACACGAGCTGCTACATAATAATGTAATATTGTAATGTAATACATTGATCAAATAAGCATAAAAAAATGTTCCCCTCAGGTATTTTGGTTTAACTATAGTCTACCATATTCATGAACTGTTTATTTATTATATAGCAGGAAATCCCTCAGATTGTGCCAAACATTAGAGTCTTCATAAATGTATGTCATAGATGACCGTAGCGATGGCTGTAGAGATTGACGATGATACTCAAACTGCCAGAGAATAATAGCCCAAATAATTGCTCCAAACCATGGAAATGGATCACGCTTAGGTTCTGCAATCACTTTCTTTTTCACACCCATTTTGACAAAACCAAAAATTATTCTTGATAAGAGATACAAGTTTATCTGAAAAAGGAAATTGTTATTCTCAAAGAATTATTTACAAAAAAACACATTTCATGACTGGATATATTGAACAATAACTGAAAGAAATAGAATCATGGATTGTATAACAATTTGACCTTAGTGTCGTCTTGTGAAAGGTCTTACCTGCATATTTACTTTGTTATTCTCACCAAATATTAAATATCCTCCAATGAATGCAGCAATAAATGAATGATATTGTTTCTTTGAGTTTTCTAACCATTTCATGATTGCGGTTAAAGCTTTGTAAATGAAAACAAATGACGCCAGGTTTCTAGAGTGTTGATATGTCATCTGAGTGATATCTCGAAACTTTTCAAGAAGACTGAAAAAATAAAACAAGGTATTAATGTTTTGGTTTAATTGAATACTGACAAACTAATACATCATACATGTAGGCGTGTCCATCAACACACAGCAGCAGCAAACTTAGGTCTTTGTGATCATAAGAAACATTAGAGTCAACGTTTCTAATATCATAGATACCGCTATGATTCATGGCCATCAGAGATATAATAAACAAGCAACCTGATGGTCTGCTGTCCTACAAGAACATTGTGGTAGCCAAGTCGAGCAATGCACACCCGTAAGACTTCTTCTTAAAAACTGCCAGCTCAATTTGATACCAAATCATTAAAGCAATTGAACTGATAGTTTTCAAGAAGAAGTCAACAATAGCATTATTCATCAAAAATGACAATAAATATTCGCAAAAGATGAGAATTGAAGAAGTTGTCACAAAATGAACAAATCTGACGGAGATCCACCCATTCTACATACCAAGTATCAAAGCAATTGAGCTGCTAGTTTTCAAGAAGAAGTCGAAAATTACAAACATATTCGCCAAAAATAGAGAATTAAAAATATCATGAAAATAACAAATCTGACAGAAACCCAAGGTAACTGCATACCAAGTATCAAAGCAATTGAGTTGGTAGTTTTCAAGAAAAATGTAGAAAATTGCATTTTTTACCAAAAATATCCATTAAAAATAGAGAATTGAAGATATTGTCATGAAATAAACAAATTTGACAGAGGTCCACCCAAGATACCTACATATCAAGTATCAAATCAATTGAGCAAGTAGTTTTCAAGAAAAGTTGGAAATGCAATTGTTGACCAACAGCAGCAGACAACCATCTCTATGAACAGCTCCACTTTGTCATCTACCATGACAGTGAAGCTAAAGACAAGAGACAGGAATACTTACCTCCCATCTTTGAATAGAAATGTCATAACAAATGCATGCGGTGCCCGAATCTTAGCTCCATACCTACAAATACAAATGAAGTGGGTTGACAACATGAGTATACTATCAATCTGAGCCGCAGGCTACTCAGTAGGTAATCTCGCGAGTGTCTGTTGACATCAAATTAAGAGAAAATATTGTAGAATTATGAAATTATCACACTCCACAGTGTTGACAGTGAAACTGTTGTTTAAATAACATAGAACTACAAATATATAAATAATATGTTCTTTTGTGCTCGTGATTAGCAGATAAGCATGAGAGATATAATATCGGAAGACATGTTCTGCAGTTCACTACATTCACTATTATGTTTATAAACAAGAGAGGTCAACTTTCTATTTCATGTGTACAGTAGGCAATGATATGTCCACTGAATCTTGAGCTGTCAATCATTCTCTGTTCAGTACTAGTGGAAAACCATGAAAACCATGAGGGCTTTTACAAGCGTTAATAGTCCCCAGGCCTCCGACCTTCGCTGAAATGCCTGCATCATTACTACTATAAGGCACGCTATCAATTAGGTATTTCTAGAGGTCAGGGTTCACTTTTTTATAGGCAATCTCGTCGGCAGTTGAATAAATTTTGCCATGATTTACATTTCATTTGTATTCTGTTTTTGATAATTTGTTTCACTGGCGAATTACTTTTATCAGACTGTTATTGTTTTAAATTTGTGTAAGACTAGAGTAACACTTGTAAAGAAAGCAACAATTGAATTTACAAGTGTCACAGACAGAGGAAAGGAATCACAGGCGAGTGTCTAAGCATCGCGGTAGTACTTCAAAGGTCTGGGAAGAACACTGGGTTTTTGATCTGCCCTGTGGTACATCACAATGTGGGAGTATTGTATATGGAATCCATGTATAAAATCATGTACTATATTGTCAGTGTTGATATGGGAGCCATGTACAAAACAACGCACTATACGATTAGTGTGTTGTATATGGAATCCATGTCACAAGTCATGTATGACAGAGTCCTTGTTAAAATATTACACTTTCTATCAGGTTGTGTGCAGATGTGATGGTTACAGCATTACACTTTGTTTGGTGGTATATATTAGGTGTGTAGTTAAATTGTTTTCTTTTCTTAGACCAATCCATTTTAACCGTCCAAATATACTTCCAATAATGAGGTTATTCTGTATCAGTTAGCTGAACTGCATTGCATTGCATGTGATATCACGTTGCCAAACTCTATTGCATGTGATTGATGCAGTGATTTGCCTTGAACATATAAACCATGACAGTGCATGCTAGTATAAACACGAGACAATAAAATGATCAGTAAAATATACCTGGAGAACATCAAAATTGATACAACTCAACTGAGAAGCAAACTTTTAAATCTGCAAGTAGGAGGATGAATCAGTATTCTGTCTATGCGGATACACCTCATCATAAAGTAATTTTCCATAATCTAATATTTTTCTGATAATTGAAGAATTCCAGAATCTCTGAGTACACAAGTGCAACAAGACTATTTGTCACACATGTACTTGCTCCAGAGATATCATTCATAAATCTGAGTGACTCCTGATGTTCAGTATCTTTAATAACTCCTTTGACTTGACATGTTAATCCCATTCTTTGTATATCAAGAGGACCTGGATTAGTTTCTATATCACCACCAAGCAATAGAATCATTCTCGCATTGTACAAATAACATTTCTTAAAAGTATAGTATGGTTTATTGTTTAAAAAGTATTTACTGTACATACAGCAACATTTATTATTAAGAAAACTGTAAATACAGTAAAGCCATATTTTCAGAGAAAGTAATATTTCAAGAACACAGTAACAATAATTGTCTTCTTAGTGCAGTGATATTACTAAATTCAAATTACAATGTTTTATAAGATTGATATCACTGTGCTTGAATAATATGCCTCAAAGGGGCAGTATTGAAGATGAGCCACCAGGGGGCAGTATTGAAGATGAGCCACCAGGGGGCAGTATTGAAGATGAGCCACTATAGGGCAGTATTGATAAACCACTACAAGGCAATAGTGAAGTTATGCCACTACAGGGCAATGTTGATGTTGAATCACTACAGGTCAATATTGATGTTGAGCCACTACTGGGCAATATTGATGTTGAGCCACTACTGGGCAATATTGATGTTGAACCACTACTGGGCAATATTGATGTTGAACCACTACAGGGCAATATTGATGTTGAACCACTACAGAGCAATGTTGATGTTGAGCCACTACAGGGCAATATTGATGTTGCGCCACTACAGGGCAATTGTGATGTTGCGCCACTACAGGGCAATATTGAAATTGAGCAACTACTGGGCAATATTGATTTTGAGCCACTACTGGGCAATATTGATGTTGAACCACTACTGGGCAATATTGATGTTGAACCACTACTGGGCAATATTGATGTTGAACCACTACAGAGCAATGTTGATGTTGAGCCACTACAGGGCAATATTGATGTTGCGCCACTACAGGGCAATATTGATGTTGCGCCACTACAGGGCAATATTGAAATTGAGCAACTACTGGGCAATATTGATTTTGAGCCACTACGGGGCTATATCGATGTTGAGCCACTACGGGGCTATATCGATGTTGAGCCACTACAGGGCAATATTGATGTTGAGCCACTACAGGGCAATATTGATGTTGAGCCACTACAGGGCAATATTAATGTTGAGCCACTAATGGGCAATATTAATGTTGAGCCACTACAGGGCAATATTAATGTTGAGCCACTACAGGGCAATATTGATATTGAGCCACTGGAGGTCAGTATTGCAGATGAGCCACTAAAGGGCAAATAGATCAATATAGAAGGGTATATAAAATACCGCTGCTGCCTGTAAAAAAAAAATCATAGTTAAAAATAAGTATAAGCAAAGATGGCTTAAAAAGAACATGTGATACAGAATAGATATATGTAATATTTAAAATTAATTTGAGAATATTAAAATTATAGATAGAAAAAAGAAATAAATTTAATTTTCGAACAGCGTAAGAGTTTGATTCATGTTCTACAGCATGAACTGTATCTATTAACACAAGACAATACGCAAGATAAGCCTTCAGCGAGCACTCCTGAAATTTCAGATCATTGATACCATGTTTTTGGATATATTCAATGACCTGATACATAAAACCACATTTTTTATTGATCAATTGCTTGACCGTGTATGGCATTTGATGCACAAGATTGCAAGCTCTATCATAAAATTGCGCTTTTCATTTGATGCATTGAAACATGTATTCACAGCAGACGGAAATTCGTTTGAGATGTTACTGGACTATATTTTTGTATTCAGTTTTTATTTCAACCACTTAGTAAGCTGAGATCATATGTTAGTGATCACGTATTAGGATACTGACTGTGCATAAATGCACAGTGTAGTGCCACCAGAAGACCAATTGCTTGAGAATATTTTTCACCATTAAGTCATTTCAAATATTATATTAATTCACAGACAACAAAATAAAGATTTTCAATAACATACAAGTTTTTCACAGTTGATGGTTGTATGGCAATTACATGCCTTTGCCAGTTTTACTTTGGAAGAAGTTGGAAACAATGACAGGAAAGGGCTACATGGCTACATCTTTTTTTTTTCAATTTTAATCAAGCATGATTTTTTAATTTTTTTTACAAATGTCGTCTATTTCAGGGCAACAGAAACAAAACCAATAAATGTGTAGGTAGGCATTTTAACAATTGCACAATTAATAATGGATTAAAACATCATTACTGATATAAATCATAATTCTGTTCAAACAATTAAAAATAAGATCACATTTAATTTAGTCAGTTTTCATAATGAATTACATAATAACATGTACTTATAAAATCTCTGGTTTAGGTGTCACACTCAGAGAAGAGTGAAAGGCCTTAATTTTGTTCTAAAATAGGCATCTCGAAATGTTGAAATTGTAAAAAAATGTAATATGCATTATTTTTTTCTAATTTTGTTGATAACGAAAAGTAAAGTATGTTCTAAAAGAAGTTTCGAATAAATACAAACACGAATACATTGCTTAGTGGTTAGTACCGGTAGTAAATGATCATGGCAGGCTGATCACGATAACACAATCCGGTCATTCTGTGTTTCGCAAAAGAATAACTTACTTTTCAAAGTATTGCAATTGTTGATTATTATTCAGTAATGATTATAATAACGTACAAAAAATAAATTCGTTGAATTTTTATGAATTGGAAGTAAAATTCAACTTAGTTTCAACGTAAACAAATGATTTTGGCCGAATGTAAATGCTCGATGTGATACAATATCTGCCATGTTTTCATTACACGTGGCTCATTTAAATATGTTAATGACCGTTCAGTTAACATTGTTAACAGAAATAACAGCCCATTGCCCATTCACGCTACTCACAAGAAACTTTATACTCTTGAATTAGGCCACATAACAGCGCCATAGACTGATTGACAGCAGTTCCTTTCTCTCCGCCTCGAGGACTTAGACCAACGCTACGGAAAGAGTGGGGTGGTTGGGGGGACCCGGAGTCTATG